CCATGACCTCCTTTGGGGCCGGGGGTACCACCGACCTATCAGGGGCACCACAGGCCTGACAGGGGCACCACAGGCCTAGTGTTGCGATGCTGGGATATCATGAGCGGACCGGTCGTGCGGGGCCGTGACGCGGGGCGGGCCGGCGACTAGGCCGGCCGAGGGGCACCACGGGCCTGTCAGGAGTACCACAGGCCTGCAGGAGCACCATCGGCCTAGCAAGAGCACCACAGATCTGCCAGGGGACATCACAGATCTGCCAGGGGCACCAGAGGCCTGCCAGGGGCACCATCGACCTCACAGGGGCACCACCAGCCTCGCACGGGCACCTTGGGCCTGTAAAGGGCTCCACAGGCCTGTCGGGAGCACTTCAGGCTTGTCAAGGGCACCACAGTTCTGCCAGAACCCAGGGGCACCAGCGGCCTAGCAGGTGCACCACAGGCCCGCCAGGGGCACCACAGGCCTGCCAGGGGCCCCACAGGCCTAGCAATGGCACCGCAGGCCTGTCAGGGGCTCCCCACAAGCCTGTCAGGGGCACCTCAGGCTTGTCAGAGCCCAGTGGCACCACAGTCCTTCCAGGGATACCACAGGCCTGTCAGGCCTATGGTGCCCCTGACAGTGTCAGAAGCACCAGAGGCCTAACAGGGGCACCACAGGCCTGCCAGCGGCACCAATGGCCTCGCCAATGAGACGTTGCAAAGCATTGCAATGCAGTGCCTCTTAGTATTGTTTGGCTGAGATCGCTATACAGTATACACAATAAGATATCTAGCTAAATCGGTTTTCGTGATAACTCCTTATTTGTGACTATACTAATGCGGGTTGGGTCATTTATGACCCATGCTTATAACTTGAGAACCGATGGAACAAATTTTTTAAGCTTGCACAGTTTTCTTACTGGGACCCGTGTGACTAACATTTGTTAACCCGCGCCGGGCCGGGGGGGTGTTTGAACACCCCCCCCCCCTCCGGCCCGGTTTTTCGCAGATATCTCAAAAACGGAAATCTGTTTGTGCATCTTTTCCGCACATGTTGTGAAAATTTCAGACCCAGGTCACCTTAGGTCAGGTCACCAGGTCACGCCAAGTGACCTCACCTCAGAAAAAATAAGAATGCTCGTCATAGCTACACCGACTGAACGATTGCCTTGAAACTTTCAGCGATTGATTAGAGCAACACTATCTATAAAATGTTTATCTCGGAATTTTGATATTGGTGACCTAAGGTCAGGTCAATTTTGCGGCCTCTCCAAAGTCAATGGGAGAAAATTGAAAAGCGTCTGTTTTGCATGAACGCTGTTCTAGACACTCTCAAACATCGCGATATAGGTAAAAGTGACACACTGAACCAGAAAATGGCAGCTGTGACCCCTTCGTCCCAGCCAGTAATTCGCTTGGGCTAAACTATGGCAAACGTCGGGCAGCTTGGGCTTAGCTTGGATTTGCCCACTTCGATCAAAACCAATGCATTTTTTACTTGGGCTGAGCTTGGGCATGCCGCAGCTATGCCCGAGTGTGGCCAGCTGCAGCTCAGCCCGACATCCGCCCGCGCAATCAAAGCAGGCTCAACTTGGGCGGAGCGCGGGCTGATCAAGCTGGTTGTCTCCTTTGGCTAACTGGAGTAAAGCCGGAGTTGAGCCATACTTGATCGGCTGTTCGCGCATGCGCATTTCTGCGCCAGTCAGGTTTTGCTCGGGCTTACATCGGGCTACCGCCAATCGTCGCACAACTAGGGCTAAGCTACGGCTGTCCGGAGCTCGCAGAGCGGGCATACCTCCGGCGGAGCATGGGCTTTAGTCGGCGTTTTTGTGTCATACGCCGACTTTAGCCTAAGCCCTAGCCGACTTTAGCCCGACTAAAATCTCGGGCAAGCCGCACTTTAGCCTGCTTGGGCCCGGAGTAAAATTGCTGGCTGGGGTTATGTCCCCGAGGTCATCTCAGGTCACGAACAGAATCTAACAGTTTTTCGCTAATAACTTCTGATAGAGACGTGCTAGAGCGCTGAAAACGCCTTAGATGTGTTCGGCTCGACGTTGCGGATCGACTGATATGCAACATGACCTTTTCCGGTCAGGTCATGACCTTGACCTGAGGTCCAATTTTCAAGTTGACCTTTCAAGGTCAAATTATGGTTCTTTCGACGCGTCTCGACGAGAGGAACACGATGGTGGCAAAAGTAATGTCATGGCTCTTTTGAGTCAAAAGTTATTGCCGAAAAAACGTTTTTCGTAAAAACGGCTATTTTTTAGTTTTTGCCCTCTGGAGGCTAAACCGTTGACCTGAGGTCAAATCTGAGAAAATTACTCAGAAAGGTCTGTAAAAGGGCTATCGAATGCGCTTTTCCGCGGCGCTGTAGCTCTATCGGTTCCCGAGATAGCCGTTGGCAGTTTCCAAAATGTTGAAATAGTCAACATTTTACCTTTGGTGACCTCTGGTGACCTGACGTTTGACCTGACCCAAAAAATGACCGAAGTGTTTTCGTCCTTATTTTGGACGTTCTTTCGATTGCCGCTTACCCCGTGTCGCTACGTGGCCCAGGAGCCGAGTTAGAGGGGGGATGTTCAGACACCCCCCCCCGGCCCGGCGCGGAATCTCAGAGCACCGGGCCGGTGCTCTGAGATTCCTGAAGCTCTGAGATGCTGAAGTTGTCCTTAACCCGGCGCGGGTTAAGGACAACTTAAGAATCAAAAAATAAAAATTCCGGCATTAATGGGTTAACCCACGCCCTGATGGGGGGCATTTTGCCCCCCCCCCCCCTGTGATTTTTCTTAAATAGCGAGAAAACGGCGGCGTGAGCGCCGCCAAATTTTAAATACTTTCCCGGGTATAAGTTTGACACCTTCACACACAATTTCAAGTTACAGGTCACCTTGGGTCAGGAGTTATTGAGGTCAAACTGAGGTCATGTTCGAGTAAAAATGAGCAAAAAATATGACATCTTGAAACGCTCACCAAATCTACAGTTCACAAGCAATTTTAAAGTTATTTATGTGGTTGTGTAGAGAAAAGACGGTGCTACGAAACAAAACTGCTATCTCAGATTTTCAAAATTTTGGGTTTTTGACCCCGAAAAATAAAAAAAAATGATTTTTTTAAGAAAAACTCGAAAAATTCCAATTTTTTTCGAATTTCGAAAAACCGGAATATATTTCATAGTCCCTGCGCTCTTCGATATACATACCAAATTTTAAATCGATACCTCCTTTTTTGGCCAGGTTAGAGCGGAAAAAACTTCAAAATTGATTACGTCAAATTTTTTAACTCAATTTTTAGCAATTCTAGACAACGTAGCGCAAAACAAAGACCACCATTTAACTCCCCGTGACGAGCTGCATCGAATCGATACCCATTTTATGCAAAAATATCAACTTTGAAATTTGACCTAATTTGACCTGACCTTGACCTGACCTTGACCTGACCTTCATCAAAACATAATCTCAACTGACCGCAAGGGCTGCCTGTCCCACAAAATCGCATTTGGCATATAAAATGAACCATAAAACATGCATCACATGATATTTTTATATTGTGTCCCTCAGCTTGACCTGACCTCTGTGACCTGACCTGGTATCAGTGACCTCAAATAGCAAAATATGTGTTTGACGAACATTTCCACTTCGATGATTTTCAATGAAATGCATTTTACTCGATTTTACAACGCATTTCTTGAGATGCCTGTAAACGGTGAAAATTCGACCTTTGACCTGACCTGTGACGTCATCGGTTAGACTGAAGTCAATGAAATTGGGTCACAAGGTAGTTCGCCGTTGGGGCTATCCAACGCCGTTTGCCGCTTGTCGCTATGTTGCGTGGTACTCGAGATCTTAGGGGGGCCAAATGCCCCCCCCCCCCCCATCAGACCGCGTTGCTCGGCAGAACCCATCAGGGCGCGGGTTAAAGGCTTGAAACCACGAAAAGACTGCAAAAGCGCGGCTAATGCGAGCCGACATACGCCGAATCGCGATTCCGGCCAAACATGGTCTCGAAAAGTATGTCACAGGTCAAAGGTCATTTGGGTCAGGGTCATTAATTATTAGGATAGGTGTAAAATTGATTAACGCGAGGGTACTGAAAGTTTTGTCGCGATCGACCGCTTTTTACGCGAGTTACTCGCGAAAAACCGAGGGGATACGCTCGACCCCCCTTATACGGGCGAGGGTTAAGATGAGCCATTGATCATGTCCATTTCACTTAGAAGTGGTCCGAAATTGGTGTCAATCAACCTATCAATTAAGAACCTTCAATGGTTTCACGTTCTGTGTCTAGTGTCTCTGATGGTTCACCGGCGGCTGCTTTAGTCGTTCACAGAGGAGTAGCGTTGTCTTTTCAGGAGCTTGGTTGAATTTAAGTGTAATGTTAGTTTCTACCAAGCGCTGTGAGCTTCTAGCATGTCTATTCGATTTCAAATGATGTGTTTGGCGTTGGATGGCTAGTCGGCCAGCTACCAGTGCAAGTGGGGAGTTTGTGACAACTGACAGGTGACTAAAGGCTGAAGCGGACTCTTTCCGCATTCAGGAAATCGCATGCGAGAGCCTATTCAAATACATTATGCTTCTTCCCGCATCAATCGCATCCGGGAGGTGCGTGGGATTGATGCGAGCGTGCTTCCATGCATTTGAATAGGCTCTCGCGTGCGATTTCCTGACTGCGAAAAGGGTCTGCAGCCGTCCGTCCGGTTGCCATGGAGCTGGTCCCGTCGCGACAGGTGCCCGGAGAATGCCGCCAGCTAGCCGCTCGTTCCTTAACGGACTGGGACGAGCTGTCACTGCGCAGGTGACCCGACACGCGACCCGACACCGACGCTGCACTTCTGGAGTCTGTGTGGAGCATCCAGTGGCCAAGGTCACCGTGGAGTGGGTCAGCGAGCGCCCGGCTCCACTGCGGGTCGGCTTTCCGAGCGGCCATCTCAGGGCCGCTGTGCTCTGCGGCTTGTCTGCGCCGCCGCGCGGGGAGGGAGGGCGGCGGCGTGCCACCAGCCGCCGCCGGCCGGCCGCCCCAGTCGCCGCCGCGCCGTCCGTGCCGCCGTCTGCACGGGCCCGCCGCGCCGCCGCCATGCCGCCCCCGCTGCCACTGCTGCTGCTGCTGCTGCTGCCGCTGCTGCAGTGCGCGGCCGAGCCGAGTGCCAGTGGCCGGTGGCAGCCGCCGGCGAACGGGACCGAGTGGATGGCCGCGCTGGAGGCGGCCGACGCCGACCGGCCGTGGCGCTGTGACGGCGGCGGCTCGTGCCAGCTGGAGCTGCTGCGCCGCGAGCGGCTCGAGGTGGTGAAGCAGCAGGTGCTGAGCCAGCTGGGCCTGCAGGCGGTGCCGGCGCCGGGCCGCCGCCGCCGGCTGGCCGCCCAGTTCCTGGGGCGCGTCATCGACGACCGGCAGCTGGTCGGCCTGCGCAACAGGAGGGCGCTGCACGGCCCGGCCGACGGCGCCCAGCCGCAGGCCGTCTGGATGCTCGCCAGGCAGTGTGAGTAGCTGCTGCGCCGCCCGACCGCAGCCACTGGAGTAGACAATAAAAGACGTCAACTGCAAAATATTCTCTCCCAGTAAAGCCTATACCCTTCCTTAACCCGCTTCCCGCTGGGGGTTATAGATTTCCACGCCCTGCTGGGGGAGTTTGACCACCCTCCCTTCTAACTCGGCAACTGGACCACGTAGCGACACGCGGTATGCAACACGCGGAAATACCTCAGCCAATTCTAAGTTAAGGTCAAAGGTCAGGTTACCAGAGGTCATCAAAGGTCAATTTTTGTCTTTCAACAATTTTCGAAACACCGGACGCAACACGGGAACCAACAGAGCTACAGTGACGCGGAAAAGCGCATTCGATAGCTCTTTCAACGGTTTATCCTGCAGAAGGCAAAACTCTAAAACAGCCGTTTTCACGAACAAAACTCTTCGCTTATAACTTTTGACTCAAAAGAGCCACGACAGTCGACATTACTTTTGCGAGAATCGTGTTCCTCTTTAACAGAGACGTGCTAGAGCGGTGAAAACATGTCAGATGTGTTAAGCTCGACGATACGGATCGACTAATATGCAACAAGACATATGTATTCCGGTCAGGTCATCACCTTGACAACATCGACATCGAGAACTGCTTTAATTCGGATATATTTAATTTCAAACTTGCGGGTTTCAGCTTCCTAGGGGGCTAATCCCTTAGAATTTGTGACGTCAGCGGGGATATAACTTTTTAAATCTTGTATTAAAACCGTCGTTTTCACGTCGTGGTATATGATGCCTTGCGCGCAATGTCTGCCGCACAAAGGATGCTAAATTATTACTTCCAAATGAAGTCGCTAGGAACAGCGGAGATCCCAAAAAGGAAGCAAAAGTAAAAGTCTAATATCTTGAAAACCAGTGAATTTTTTTCAGTGAAATTTGGTTGATATTCGTTTTCGCTCTTTCTGAACCGAGCGACATCACTCATGCCAATTATGCCAATTCATTAACTTTTTTGAAGCTGGGGGAGTCGCTAGTTGTACTTAACTTTTAAGTTCACTTAAGCAAGCAAAAATATATCACACGACTCGCCTTGACGTGTTGAGTTCACTGGTGCTTTTGTTTTTGCTCTATCGTAACTAGATCAAAAGTTATAAGCGAAAAAACATTTGACCTGTTTTAGCGAAATTTTTACATTTACACCCCTCCCCAAAACTCCCTAAATATTGACCTAGAGCAGGGGTCGGCAACCTACGGCCCGCGGGCCAGATCCGGCCCGCGACGATTTGACGTCCGGCCTGCGGCTGGTATCAGCAGCTAACATTGTGTTCATAGGACGTCATAGGAACATCGGATGCCGCAAAAAAATAATTTAATATTAAGGTATATTATTTCAAAAACACCGGAGAATATTTCGGTAAAATTTGGTGGATGTTCATTTTGTTCTCTTTCTTAATGACAATTGACGGTACATCACTTTTTTGCCAATTCATGTTAACTTTTTTGAAGGTGGGAAGGTCCCTTAAACTTTGGTCCTGTACCATTTAGCGACACGCGGTAAAAAGTATTCGAAAGAACGAGCTTTTGGTGGAAGAAAAAACTTTCGGGCTCCGTTTGGGCCATTGCCTTCCTGTTGCCTCTGACCTCGTACCTGCTGACCTCTGCTGGCTAATCCGTGACAGACCTGCTGACTGTCCCGTGACAGACCTGCTGACTGTCCCGTGACAGACCTGCTGACCTCTGTTGCTTGACACGTGGCAGGCCTGCTGACCTCTGTTGCTTGACACGTGGCAGACCTGCTGACCTCTGTTGCCTGACACGTGGCAGACCTGCTGACCTCTGTTGCCTGACACGTGGCAGACCTGATGACCTTTGCTGACTTGCTGTAACACCGCTGGCGGACCTGCTGACCTCTGCTGACCTGCTGTAGCACCGCTGGCGGACCTGCTGACCTCTGCTGACCTGCTGTAGCGCCGCTGGCGGACCTGAGCACGATGCGTGGCTCGCCACTAGCCGCCGAGACGCTGTACTTTGAGCTGCCGCGCGACCTGAGCGGCCGGAATCTGGCCACAGCGCGCCTTCTGTTCCGGGACGCCGGTGAGCTCCAGTACCTGGCCCGCGCAGACTCGGCCACTTACGTCAACATTTACAAGGTGAGAGTTAACCTTACATTCCTTGGAAGCAATGTTCTAAAATCCCGCTTAACACCTTCTTCAACAAATAGAAGACTAATATAATTATCTATTCGTGCCACTTGGGCAGAAAGCTTTCCCTAGGCAACAACACCAAGCCCTAGCCGATCACCGAACTGACCTGAAACCGTTAAGTGGTCCCAAAGCAGTTCAAACTTCCCCGAGGTGGAGCTCCAGTTCTCTCTATCTCGCGGACTCCCAGCTAGTGTGGGGTTCTCTATCCCGTTGTCCCCCAGGTAGTGTAAAGGTTCTTTATCCCACTTCCCCCTTATTGTAAGGGTCTCTTTATTTTATCCCACTATTCCCCGTTATTGTAGGGGACCCTAAATCTCGCTGTCCCTAGGCAGCCTAGGGGTCTCCTCTGCCCGTCCCCAGGTGGTACCGCACGGTCTCTGTCTGCCCGTCCCCAGGTGGTACCGCACGGTCTTTCTACCCGTCCCCAGGTGGTACCGCACGGTCTCTACCCGTCCCCAGGTGGTACGGGGACCCGCAGTTGCTACTGTACAGCGACCCTGAGTATAAATTGTCCCAGCATCCTCATAGGGAACAACGATAAGCTGTCATGGAGGGCACGCACAGAAAACCTCAGCTCCTCTTGTAAAGGGGCCGGCAGTCGATATCAATGTTATCGGTTGTTACTGGGCAGGACAGACGGCTAGAGTTGGGGTTCGTGTACGGTAGCAACTGCGGGTCCCCGTACCGCAGGGTCTCTATCTGTCCCCAGGTGGTACCGCACGGTCTCTCTATCCGTCCCCAGGTGGTACAGCAGGGTCTCTATCCGTCCCCAGGTGGTACCGTAGGGTCTCTCTACCCGTCCCCAGGTGGTACCGCACGGTCTCTCTATCCGTCCCCAGGTGGTACCGCAGGGTCCCTATCCGTCCCCAAGTGGTACCGCACGGTCTCTACCCGTCCCCAGGAGGTACCGCACGGTCTCTCTACCCGTCCCCAGGTGGTACCGCCGGACCTCTATCCGTCCCCAGGTGGTACCGCACGGTCTCTCTACCCGTCCCCAGGTGGTACCGCAGGGTCTCTACCCGTCCCCAGGTGGTACCGTAGGGTCTCTCTATCCGTCCCCAGGTGGTACCGCAGGGTCTCTCTACCTGTCCCCAGGTGGTACCGCAGGGTCTCTATCCGTCCCCAGGTGGTACCGCACGGTCTCTATCCGTCCCCAGGTGGTACCGCACGGTCTCTATCCGTCCCCAGGTGGTACCGCACGGTCTCTATCCGTCCCCAGGTGCACTGAAAAGTTTTTACCATTTCCTGAAGGGTAAACCCGCCATAGCATGGTAGCTTGACACACAGACGTTTTTACCACCTTCCAGATGGTAAATTTTACTCTTTCATGAAGAGTAAACTCGCCAGGGAGGGGTAACATGACACACAGACGCTTTTTACCATCTTCTGAATGGTAAACTCTTTTGATTTACTCTTGTCTAGAGTGTAACATTTTTTGGGTTACACTCTTTGAAAGGGTAAATCTTTAACGGAACCCTTTTTTAGGGAGTAACGCATCATCTACTCTGTGCTTTACCCTCCTACAGAGAGTATATTCTTATGGCCTACCCTTTGTCACATGGTAATGTTTACTCTTTCCTTTAGTGTAAACCCCCCAGAGGATGGTAACCGACCCACAGACGCTTCCTTCAGAAGCTTCACGAAGCTTCTGTTAACCGGAGCTCACCAATTAAAAAAAAAAAATGTTTCAAGACCAACAATGTAAGTATATTTGGCTTCCGTACAAACAATACGAGGGGCACACCAACCATGAACATTGTGAGACTCTTCACTTATTCATACAAGTTTATACAAAGCGTTCAGCAATGCACAAGCGGTAAATAAACACCACGATACAACTTGAATGCAATTTGAATATGAATAGGGGAGGGAGGTCATATTGCGCCATGTTCTTAAATGCGCCACACCTTCCTCCTATCCAAAATTCGATTCGAATGAATGCTCGAATGTGTGCATTTACTTCACCACCAATAACTCGCTCTTATTGCGGTCCACGGGGGTAGGTGAGGTGACTCAGCTTTCTCGCAGACCATTTTTTGTGATTTCCTCTATTTTCTTACGCGAAACAGTCTATTTCGACCTTTGTTAGTGTCATGGTTTATCTTAGAGATAGTGATTCAACTAATAATCATTGTTAATTGCTCGTTTAATGGTAGTTTTGAAAGTTTATCACCACCGTGGCTTCGCTGTCCTCGCCATATTTGAAGCTTATGAAAAATGTGTTCCATTCGTAATTGCGCCCACCCTATTTGCGCCCTATTCTTCAACCCAGAGAAACAGCATCTGGTGGTTGGGACACATTTCATTGAACACTTTGATTATTAGAGCGCTCACCTTATCATTACCTTAGCCTTCACAGCATAAATGGTTAATGGGCAGACACGTCCAAATAGGCTACTTAGTTAGGTGGCAAACCGTTGTTTTTAATAGGGCGCTTTTACATGAGAGCCATGGGCGCTTTTTGATGGGGTAGTCCGTAAATGCGCCCTTTGCAGGTGTGTCGGAAAACTTTTCTCTTGTTAATTTTTATGGGTGTGATACAAATTAGGAGTTGTAATTTGATGCCAAAATAACTGAGGTACAATTTGAGATATCATCAAGCATGACAGCTGGTCAACTTTAGCCGCAATAGGCCGATATCCTTAAGGTGGCGCAATATGACCTCTCTCCCCTACAAGACATTCAGCGCCCTCATATTGGATTAGGCAGAGCGCACAATATTTGAAGTGAGCGACGGCGTTCCTGGGTGGTCGCCCGTCTGCGTGAGATAATGAGACTGGATCACTACAGTGTAAGGCTTTTTCAAAGCCCACCAACAAAATGCATAAACTTGTAGCATCACAACAAAATTAATGTACGTACTCACAACACTAGGCCACGTGGCCGTGCACGGGGTCCTGTTAACCAGGTCAAATTAGCACCACTCAACGGCACGCAATGCTCTAGCACATCGGTACTTACAATAAAATGTCCACAGAGGCTCTATAGGCGATGAACAACACACAAGCACAATCACCAAAGGCCACGCCGCGCGGCACCGACACTGCTCACATCCGCTCTCGGAGACCAACGGCCGAAAACTGACAGATGCGCGCGGCCTTCAAACCGCAAACGGCCGATCTCGTTTCTGATTGGCTGATTGTTTCCATTTCAAATATCATCTTCACGAGGGTAAACAAGATCCACGCATGAAACGACTATCTGTACCCGAGTCACGATACCCAGGAGGAAAGAGTTTTCGTGATGTTCTGGATCGCGAGAGTAATATTGATATTTACATGGTAATAATGCTCTTCGCTGGCGAATAAGTTCATATTAACCACGTACCGTTACTATGCACATAATGGTAGCAGCGAGTTACCCTTTCAATATACTATTATCTTGCGGGTTTGATGAAAATGAACTCTCCAGGAGGTAGTAAAAAAGTTTTGAGTGTGGTACCGCACGGTCTCTATCCGTCCCCAGGTGGTACCGCAGGGTCTCTATCCGTCCCCAGGTGGTACCGCAGGACCCGTCCCCAGGTGGTACCGCAGGGCCTCTATCCGTCCCCAGGTGGTACCGCAGGGTCTCTATCCGTCCCCAGGTGGTACCGCAGGGTCTCTATCCGTCCCCAGGTGGTACCGCAGGGCCTCTACCCGTCCCCAGGTGGTACAGCAGGGCCTCTATCCGTCCCCAGGTGGTACCGCAGGGCCTCTATCCGTCCCCAGGTGGTACCGCAGGGCCTCTATCCGTCCCCAGGTGGTACCGCAGGGTCTCTATCCGTCCCCAGGTGGTACCGCAGGGCGTCTCCTACCAGCTGGAGGAGGTGGGCACGGAGACGGTGCGGCTGCGCGTGGCCGGCGCCCGGCTGGTCCCGGCGGACGCCCAGCTGGTTTCGGTGGACATCACTGAGCTGGTGTACGACTGGCTGCGCCGGCCCGGCACTAACTACGGTCTGGTGGTGCGCACCCGCGACCGGCACGGCGCCGGGCGCGGCGCGCTGCTGGCCGGCCTCGACGACCGACAGGTACGGCAGCGGCCGGCGACCGGCGCGGCGCCGCAGCCCAATCGCGGCTCGCTACATAACACCGCAGTCCCGCCAATACCCATTTAACATATAGCGTGCTTATTTTATTTATTTTTCTGTGCCCGGGTGGGGTCTCAGCCAATTTTGCCATGGTGGGGAAAAGGGGCATCTTTGGCTACCCGGGGTATTCTCGAAAACTAAGAAAGCTAGAAAGAGCGGGAAAATACATAGCTCGCTATAAGATCTTTCAGAATCATACGAGTCATTTTTCGATTACGTTTTCTCTGAGGTCACTGGAGGTCACCAAAAGTAAACAAGTGTCCCGAAAATGCTCCCGATTTTACACCAATAGAAGCGTCACTTGGCAACCAAAAGAGTTACAGCGCTAAGGAAAAGTGCATTCGATAGCTCTTGCAAAGCCGTTTCTGGCTGACGCCCTCAGATTTGACCTAGGATCAACGACTTAGTCTCCAGGGTAAAGAACTCGAAGTTTGACGCTTTTGCGCAGCATGTTTCGCTGCATTAATTTTTGACACCATACTTGTATTGCGTTGACTTTACCGGCATTGTGTTTCTTTCGCGTCGATTCAATTAGTTATTGACCTGAAAACGTCAATTTCAAAATTTAATCTCAGGTCAAGGTCACGGGAAAGGCCATGCTGCATATCAGCTGATTTATATCGTTGAGCCTGAAGGTGTTTTCATCGCTCTAGCATGTCTTTACCTAAAGTTATCGTCAAAAAATGTTTGAGGCGTTTCATAGAGACGTCGGGTCAGAGGAAGGGGTCATGGTTGCACTTTTTTATTCATTGTGTCATAACACCCCTAGGCCGGCGAGGGTTAACGCAATCGGCCCAACCGTTCTCCAGACCTGGAAACGACCCCTGCACGTGCATTAGCACCCTAACCGTGACAATTATGGATAAGAAATATGCATTATGCATTGCCCGATGGGTGCTTACATGCATGCAAAGTTTCAACGTAATCGCCCCAGCAATTGCCGAGTTATTGTGATGGGAACAAATTTGACACCGTTTCTTTTTGCATTTTGCATGTGCAGCAGGGGTCACTGACGTGCATCAAGAGTAGGTATCCCATGTTTGGAAGGAGAGATGCAGCTACCCAACAAAAATTGCCGCAAGCCAATTGCCCCAGCAGTTGCTGAAATATTTTCCTGTCAAAAGCACTATCTTCTGCAAAACAGTTTACATACCGTCGACTTTTTACGTTGCACTTGCACGTGCCATGATGGTCACCTTGATGCATCAAGAGTAGTCAATTACGGGGTAGAATGCATGGAGCTACACAACAAAAAGACCGCAGGTCAATCCGCCCAGTGGTTGCTGAGATATAAGCCTCTCAAAAGCGTTACAAGTCGGGTCGCCGAGCCGTTCATGCTGAGAATTTTCGGTTATATTAAAAAGACTTGATTAGCGCTCGCTCGTAAAAAGACCCGCTTCGTACTCGCTCGTAACTTCCTCTTTGGAGCATAGATACAACAAGAAATAACGTTGAACTCTAAGTGATGTTTATTTTTCATTCTGCGCCTGCTCTGCCCAGAAAGCGCCAATGCTCGAGGTGCATATGGAGGAAGTGGCTGCCAAGAAGCGGCCGCGCTGGCGGCGGCGGCGGCGGGCGCCCCCGGTGCGCTACTGCGACCAGAGCGGCCTGGAGACGGCCTGCTGCCTCTACGAGCTAGTGGTGGACTTTCACGAGTTCGCCTGGGACTGGATCATCGCGCCCGTCCGCTACCGGGCCAACTTCTGCCGGGGCGACTGCCCGGCCGTCTACATGCAGAAGTACGCGCACACGCACATTGCGCAGCAGCTGGGCGGCAGCGTGGGGCCGTGCTGCAGCCCGCGACAGCTCGCCCCCCTCTGGATGCTCTACTGGGACAACAAAAACAACATCAAGTGAGTGCAGAGCGCACAACCGCCGCAGAGGTGTAAATGTTGCAGGCACTTTAGAAAATCAGTCATTTTGTAAAATGCCTAGGCATTTTGCAAAGTGCCTGATTTTCCAGGCTTTTTGCAAAAAGCCTAGGCATTTTAAAAAATGACTGACTCTCCAGTCATTTTGCAAAATGCCTAGGCATTTTACAAAATACCTAGCCATTTTACAAAATGACTGAGCAGCGTGTTGAAGATACGAGTACCTAATTATATACGTTTTGGTAGCGTGTAGGTGGACCGAGGAGTCCAGCATTATGACCAGAGGAGTCCAGCAGTGGGAAGTCCATAGCTACCTCATATATGGCAGCTGGAAGCCTGCTAAGGGTAAGATGTCGCCGGCTGAAGCGGGATCGGCCGACGCGGGAAACGCGGCAATCACAAGTTTGTGTTTACACACTCATAACTCAAGTTGTTACCGGCCGATTTTCAAAATTCTTTGACCATGAGATTGCCTGTACATTTCTTAGTCTTCTCACAAAATTTGACGCGAATCGAATATAATCAGCGGCAAGGAGCGCGATGTAAAGACGGAACCGTCCCGCCCCGGCACAGTCTACAATTCAGGCGGCGCGTAACGGTTAGCGCCGGCCGCCGCGCCGCCGCGCCGCCGCGGCGGCAGGATGTTTGACTTTACATCGCTATTACAAGAAAAGTTGGGACCCGATTTTCTTATTTCTTGCACGAGAAGATCCGCAGTTCAATTCTGGACAAGTAACCAAAATTTCACATTAATATCATGCTTGCAGCGCGAGTTATTGGCGAAAAACAGGAGGGGTGGGCGGAATCCGCCCCCCCCCCCTTCCACTGCGCGTGTTAACCCGGCAGTTGCTGGGGTATTTCGCCACCCACCGTTTGCTGGGGGGGGGGGGCGTTAAACGCCCCCAGCCGATAACTCGAGAACCAATAGGCGCAGCGAAACGCACGAGGCGGCAAACGAAAGAGCGCGACGAGACGCTTCAGATGAGTACTTTAAAGTTGAATTTTGAGGTCACAGGTCGGGTCAAGGTCAGGTCAAACACCTGAAATCGGGCTTTCAGTAGCATGGACTTCAGGACTTCGCAATGGGCGCCTCTCGCCATAAACTCTGTCAAAACGGTGCACAATCCATCTTATAAGGCCTACAAGAGTGTCAGCTCCATATAGGGGTCAGTCAAGCACAGGTCAGGGTCAAGGTCAGGTCAACCGGGTAGGCACATATCCCCGAAAATCAAAACTGATATTCGCAGCCTGTGACACATGTTTTATAGGTAATTTGGGGCGTAGAACACGATGGTGACATTCAATTTATCATATGTGTACGTGTTTGGCTCAAAAAGTTCAATTTAAGAAATTCATGTATCATGGTCGTGAAGAAGTCACGAAAAATTGCCAAGATTCAGCTCAAGATTTTGGAAAATGCGGAACGATAATCAATAATCGAAGATAGCCATTTGATTGATCATGGTATTGGCAGTCTAATGGCGTTTACGGCATGTCTGTATGTCTATTCTGTAATTTTATATGATTTTTTGAACATATGCCGTTTTTGGTCGAAAACTCAGAAATCATGACGTCACTAAAACCTCGATATCTCAAAAATTTTCCGACCGATTTTTTTGAAGCTTTATCACAATAAACTTCAATTAATTCCCTACAGGTACCCAAAATTTGTTTTTTTTGTCGCCGTTTTTATGCAATGGCCCGGCGAAAAAAGTGGGGGCGTTTAACGCCCCCCCCCCCCCAGCAACTCGCGGGTTAAAATGTGAGGATGAGAGAGAAGGAGTGGGAAATTATAATTAAATTCGAACGTGTTTTTAATGCCCAAATACATAATGCAGTTTTGTCCGTAATGGCACAATCAAACAAAGACTACACTCATTCGTTTACATGTAATTGTACATCAACCGGGCCTGCCTATTGACTAGGGCCGGTCTCCGGCTGGTTTTGTTAGGTCTAATTTCAGGCAGAACATGAACGTTCGCGACGAAACTTTCAGTACCCTCAAGTTAATCAATATTACGCCTACCCTTAAAATTCTTATGACCCTGACTCAAAAGACCTTTGACTTGTGACCTGTTTTCCGAGACCATGCTTGGCCGGAATCGCGATTTAGCGTATTTCGGCTCACATTATGAGCGCGTTTATTGTCTTTTTGTGGCTTTAAGCGATCAAACATGTGAAAGGATGTTGATCCCATGGATTCTAGTGGGTATCAAGGTCACGTGAAGGTCAGTTAGGTCACTGACCTTTGATGACCTTAGTTCACTGCTTCGAGTTCTACATGTTTCTAGGGTAGATTTTGGAGTTGATTTCGCATTTAGAAACCGTTTGAGCATTTACGAAGTAGTTTTGGTTCCCTCGTAACATGTGACCTGACCTGACCTGACCCGACCTGGACTAGATGCACGAAAACATCATCTGTGATAAAAGTTAACTTGAAATTCGTGATCAGCACCCCCGCAAAACCTTATAACAGCCTCACTTAAAGAAGCTCTAACAGGTCCCGATTTTCCCGACTTTTGAGTATATATTGACTTATCAACAAATGACCTAGGACCTTAAGATTGTGTATCAACGGCCTCCTCTCGTCACGGGCAACACGCTCTTTTTCCGCGAAGCTCTAGCTCGATCAGGGTCTGAACGACAAAGGGGTCCAACGGACCCCCTCCCCTTTATGCTAGACGCTGGCAAAACACCAATATGAGCGAGGGTTAAAATACAGCTGCTGTCATACAAATTCGGCTGGAATCAAAGGTCAGGTTTGCAAAATTTCAGCTCTCGCAGCAAATAGACATGTGGAGGCGGCACCCGTCTCCCCGCCCCCTCTTCTCCTCTCGGCCACTGCCAGCGAGGTTTTAAACGTATCATACACATTACAAAGCATCATATCAGATGACGCACCCGAGCAGCCATATGCACTGAACAAAAGCTTATTACCCACCCTAGTCTATCGGCACTAGAGATGTCAATCAGATACAAACTTTTTGGTATGCCGATGCCAAACCGATACCAACTCGGTATTTGGTATTTCAATGCTAATGTGTTTGGTATTTTGTTGGTATCATGAACCCTTGCTAATGTTTAGGAGGCTAAGAAATCGGTAAAAAGTTGGTATTTTCCTCATGTTCCCAAGTTGGTTTGGTTTCGGTATTTCTCCACGGTTTTGGTTGGTATTTGGTTTGGTATCGGTATTCCGATTTTCCGTAATTGACATCACTAATCGGCACCATAGCACATGGTCGAGACTGTCGTCAGCCACGGACGCGCATTCGACCAACCCTCCGAGCCCGTTGACTGCGGGTGACCTTGACATGTCAAGCCTGATCGGCCGCCGGCCGCTGTCGTGCGGCCGTTACACGCGGAGGGGAGGGAGACACAAAGCTCTACGTTATAGCTGACCTCTGATCTTTCCCTGCGCCCTGGTCACTGACCCCGCTCCATGTCGCTGGGCGGTGGCATGGCGGTGGAAACCGGTTCTAGCCTCTACACATGCCACCATTCTAACGCTCCCCTCCCCACGCTACTACGCGGCGTGGAGTACGCTCGTGCGTAACTGGGCGGAGCAAGGGGGCACGCGATACAGGGGCGGAACTGGTTGCCCTCCCGCTCGCCGAGCGACCAACGACTAATACCCTGGAGAACCGTACAGTCGGCTACAGGTTGATGGTCCACTTTCTTTATCTACCGGGTTCCTATGGCTCAGCATTGGCAGCAGCCACCTGGTACCGGTAGGCTGTGCCGCATGACCCGAAAGTTTAGCGGCACAGTCTACCCACGCTGTTTGACATCGGCTCGGGTCGTCGGGTGGAGCGCTTTGTAGAACAGCTGTTGCGTCAGACGGTGGGGGCGGGGAGGGGGAGGTGGCTCATGTCGGTGGTTGGCGTGGGCTGGCGAGTGGTGAGGGGCGTGTTGGTGGACCATGAGGGCTGGGCGGGTGTGTGTGATCACTTGCTGCATTGCACAATTTGCGTCGCTTAACAATTGCATTCCTGTTTTTGATAAGCACAATGCACAGAATACCCAGCGAATATAATTTACTTTACATGTGCATTGTGCAAAACGTGATTTGGCAGGGTATCGAGGCAACCATAGGTCTTGTGCCACATATATGCATGATATTCAGGCAATACATTTATGAAAATGGTGGATTGATGCTGGATGTCAATTCGTATGCTAAATGTTGGTATGTATTAAATGAATGAATTAATTAATGAAGTAATCAATCAATCAATCGACATTTATAAAACTTATAGAACCGTATATATGGCTCGCAACTACCAATAGCAACCAAATCATTCTAACTCGGAAAAGCAGCCGGAGCCCCGATGAGGCTCGAACCGGGACTCCACTACGAAAGTTTTGCCAATAATCCTGAATCCATCATCATTCCACCAAGCTAGAGTGGCCGGCACCTGAACCGATCCGATCCTTTCCCCGGTCCTGAGCCTTTCCGATCACGGCATAACACGCCCAAATGACGCAATCATCAGCAATTGGGGGCAAATTCAAAGTCTGCGGCCAGAGCCGCCATCCGGTGTAGCTCGGGGTGGGATCGCTCGACTGTTGAACTGAACGGTAGTGAGAAGCCCGGTTCGAAACGCTGCGGGTGCCGGATATTTCTCTCTGGGTGGGAGGCTTTGCGATTGGTCCACTTTTCAGAAACATTTTTTGGTGACTGATCTGTTTTCTTTCTTTGCTGCCATTCATGAGGAGACCGTATGGACCCTTACCTGTCCTTCCGCACCCCACTTGGGAGATGGGTGTTTGAACCTCCCCTGGGTTTTGTGAATATCTCTAAAACGTATTTTTGGAGGGGAGATACGATCGGTTCTATGCGACAAGTGACCACACACGCTCAGCCCCAGGTCCGCTCACTCCCTTCCCACGCCTCACACCAGCCGGCCTCATCTACCGAGCCGAGCCAAATTGGTAGGCCCTGCCCCCCCCCCCCCCCAGCCGGTGTGGCGCGGCGTCCGGTCAAC